GCATCCTAACGCTCCAAAGTTGTCCTCCTGCCGTGCAGCTGTCCCCTCAGAGTTCCCCCGAGAAATAAAACATGTCTGACGGGAAAGAGTCGCCGCTGAAATAATAATGACCCGCACAAATTGACTCTGACACGTTTGAGTGGGACGCTGCGTGAGAGCGTGTGTGTCAGAACACTCTGATGAGGCAGCATCATCTTCCAGCAGCTCGTTTATACTCGCTCACGTGCACCTTCTTAATTGGTTTAGTGCGAGTCTTGGCACCGGACGTGACCGGTTTGAGTTCAGATTAATTGCCTGAACAGTCGTTTAGCCCTCGCCGATGGAGCTTTGAGTCGTAGAAGAGGGGGCTGAGAGGTTCTGAAGAGAAACTCGGTCTCCCCCTCCATCGTTTCCCGTCTTTTCCTGCCATTCTGTTTCCGTTTACCTGCCGGGGCTTCACCTGTTCACCTGCCGAGCTCAAGCTCACAGCTGTGGCAGCAGATCTGCTTCATAAACTCCTGACTTCGTGCACAGAATATCAAACAGCTGTTTGCTCTGAGCTGCCTGCAGCACGAAGCCACGGAGCAACACCACCCCCTGGTGGTCACACTCACACACCGCAGCTCGATTCAACCAGACACTTTCTAAGATCTTATCACTACTTTTTATGTCTTTCCAAACACTTTCCATCTGTATATATTGGCTGGATTCATCATCAGTTTGGACAGGATAATGTATTTTAAAAATCTGACTGATGTAGAAAAATATACAGCTGAGTGTAGCTTGAACTTTGAGGCCTTACAGAACGAAAACTCTTTGGCTTTTAGGAAGGCTGCAGTCGTTTGTATCACAATAAATAAATAGATAAAAGTTTGTTAGATTTTCTGAACATGTTCATGTCTCAGAATCTACTGGATGAAGAAGAATTTTTATTATTATTTCTTGGCTGGTGGCCCATTTTTCTATCTTATACTACATTGTGAGGACCAACTGCTCCTTATGGGGGCCAAAGCCCAGTCCCCATAAGAAGAAGTGTCGTTGGTGGGTTAGGGGTTAGGTTTAGGACTAAGCTGTGAAATGAGGATGGGTTAGGTTTAGTGTTAAGTATGTGCTATTAATGGTTAGGTTTAGGATAAGGGTCAAAGTTAGGCTATAGAAATGAATGGAAATTAATGCAAAGGCCCCAAAAAGTAAGTTTACAAGAATGTGTGTATGTGTGTGTGGGGGGGGGGAGCTGTCATTTCTAACCCGGGCCTGAAGCCTGGCCTAACCCGACCCAAATTTGGGGCGGGCTGGGCCATGATAATGTGCTGGATGGGCAGGCCGGGTCAGTGTCGAACTTTTGATTGGGTCTGCGGATCAGTCGTGATCCAGTTATATGGCAACATGGCCTGCCATACAGTCACCAGCCGCACGCTGCCATTTCACCGCAAGCTGACCGGCCTTGAAACAGGTAAAAAGTTCAGTTAAGCTTCAGACGGGACTGTACTGCCAGGAAGTGATCCATCGCCCACATGGACGTTCGTTCAGCTGCTGCACTCAGAGGACGCACACGGACGACGACCCAAACCGGTGAGATCACAAAGCAGACATGTCAGAGCATGGTCCGTGTCTGAATAATGCAGAATGCAGCAGAAACAGGGTTTTAATGTGCTTTGACGGCCATGAAAGGACAAACACCCCCATCCCCCCCAGCTTTGATATTCTGCCCCTTTTATTCAGCCGTACGTCCCCGACCGTTAATAACTAATTAATAATGTCATTTTTTTTTTCTGGGTTCAAACCTGTAATTAATTATTGTTAATTCATCGGGTCGGGTGGGGTTCTGAAATGATGGCTGCGGGCTGTGGCCGGGTCGGATCTGATTTTTTGGGCCCGAATGCAACTCCAGATGTGTGTGTGTGTGTGTGTGTGTGCGTGTTTTTGTTACTTTTAAGGACATTTTCTGTGACAGTCATTTTCAGGACCAGCGGTCCTTATGAGGACCAAAGCCCGGTTCTAATAACCATCAGCTTTGTAACAATTTTTTTAGTTTTAAAAGATTTAAACTATAGTTTTTTTATATTTCCCTACAGAAATGCATCAAATTCACTACAAATCTTTAAAACACATAGTTTTGTTCTGTTTGACGTTTGTTTCATGAAACTTTTACTTCTTGTGACACTTTTAGCTTCCACTGTGCTAACTTAGCTTTTAGCTACACTTTTTTCTACTTTTTTCTTCTAGCTATCGCTTTGATACAAGTTTTGATGCAAGTTTTATGCTTGGATGTAAGTCAGCCTTTTTATATTCTTAACTTTTAGCTCCCTTTTTCATTTCAGCTTTGGATACTTTTAGCAATTAGCTAACATTTTGATGCTTTTAGCTAGCATTTTACCTTTTTATCTTTTAGCTAGTGCTATGTTTCTATTAGCTTGAAGTTAGGAGTTGGTTTAGGGTTTGAGTCTACAGGAATGGATGAAAGTCAATTTAATGTCCTAATAAATATAGAAAGTCAAAGGCGTGTTTGTGTGTTTTGTTGTTTTTATGAACGTGGTTGTTTTTTATGTCATTAAGTAATTTTTTTAATATTTTATGTTTTTTGTTCAAATCTGGTCCCCGTTTCTTTTTTGTTGCCTTCGTCTGTGAAATTTGATTGTGTTTTGGCCTTTAGGGCCACCGTAGCTAAACCCTGCAGTCAAAGTAATTCCAAAAATTCTTGATTTATCAGTTTTATGGATAAATAAAATAAATAAATAAATAACACATTTTGATGTTTGATACCGTGTTGGAGGTGTGAACATCTCCCGGTGGCAGCAGAACGAATGTCGCCCTCCTGGCGCCGGCACCAGCTGACTGGTGGTAACCCAGGGAAACGAGTACACACAGAAACTTTCACACGTAAACACGTAACCGCAGCAGCTGGTCAGCAGAAACTCGGCAGAGAGCTCCCTCCATGGCAGCAGAACAACGGGGAGCTCCTCTGACCTCCGTCTTCCTCCTCTCGGAGTGACAGACGAGACGTAAACGCCTCGCTCCGTTACAGCTTTTAATTATCGTTTGGACTCGCACCAGGCCACACATTCTGCAGGCCTGTGTGCGTTTTGACAGTCCCAGTGTGCAGATGTTGTGCTGCCGCTGAGATTTACAGTTCGATCCAGAGACGTTTGGACCCGCGCGCTATCTTTAGCTCATCTGCTTTTCACCGAAACATGAGGAATTTACAGGCCTGCGGTGTGCGGGACATCCGCTTCATGTAACGTCTCCAGGCTTCATTTCAGGCGTGCGTTTGGGGTTTCCACAGTTCCCAGTTTATGCCTTCGTAACGGAACCATTCAAGGTCCAGTTAGACAAAATATACTGGATTTATTTCTAAAATCATCTCGGATGTTTGATCAAATAAAATCTATATTCTACTGTATGTGGCCTTGCAGTTGTTACTTTACAAAGAAAGAAGTAAAAAGAAGCATGAAAGATCATCCTTTTATTTAATATTTATCAACTAATTTAATAAATGAATGGATCTTAACATGGGCCACACTCTCTGACCCCTTTTCCACCTCGGGCTGTGGCCTGTCATGACGGCCGTCTCCATGATCCTCCACCTGCCTGCACGGACTGAAGTCTACGGAACAGTTCGGTTCTGCAGGGAACTTTGAATGTTCTGTCCATCAGACCCGGTTCTGGAGGGCAGTCATCATGCTGCTAACAGAACCACACTGCTGACGGGACTGCGCTGCTAACAGTCTTGGGGTCCCCCAGGAGGAGCTGGACAGTGTCGCTGGAGAGAGGGAGGTCTTGGTTTTTGTCTCCTGAACTCGTTACTTCTTCGACCCGACCACAGGTAACCGGCAGGACCTGGATTCATGGGCAGATAGATGAGTGGACACTGCTGATAAAACTGTTGTAACAATGTAGTTTTTAAAAAACATAAGATGGCACTTAGAGTTTATTTCAGAAGACTGCTGTCACGTTTACGTCTCCTCCTGCTTCCATCAATATGGTGGATATTTCCACGATACATGACTGATTGAAACTTTGGAGCACATCTGTAAATGGTCATCGTTTGGCAAAAAAAAAAAATCTCCAAACGGATCAAAAAGAGTTCATACTCTTGAAGCAAGTTGGAAAGCTAGCTTAGCAAGCTAGCAATAGCCACAATGCTAAAGCAAGTCTAGGATTAAAACTAGAACTGTCCAAAGCCTGTATTTCATGTTTCTTCCCGTTCGCTCTTTGTGTGTGTGCAGATTCCAGCCCGAGGGCCTCTGCACAGATCTGAGGAAGTTCATCGACGGTCCGAGCTCGTACCTCACGCTGCCTGACGAGCTGAAGTCGGCCATCGATGCCATCACGTATATCGCCGAGGCGCTGCAGGCTGAGAAAGACGATGGAGCCGTCAGTGTTTGTCGCTGTTCATACTCTTCCGTGTGTTAGATCTTCCTTTAGGAGACATCGGTTATAAACGTGTAAAAATGCTGACTCGCTGTTGTTTCTGCATCTAAGTATATTTATATTTGTCTTCTTGTGCTACTTTTGGTTTTTAGCTACCATTCTACTGCTTTAACTTGTCCTTTTGCTACTTTTAGCTTTTAGCTGTCCTTTTGATGCTTATCTACACTTTTGCTTTTTTTGGCTTGTCCAGCTTTTTTTCACCCTTAGTTTTTTATTACTTTTAGCTTATATTTAGCTCCTTCTCATTCGTAAGTCATCATTTGCTACTTTTAGCTTCTAGTTATCATTCTGATATTTTCAGTCAGTCGTTTTTAACTTTTAGCTACTTTTTTTCTATTTTAGCTTTCAGCTGGCCTTTTTGCTACTTTTAACTAGCATTTTGCAATTTTTAGCGTTTAGCCAGCATTTTACAGCTTTAGGCTAATGTTTTGTTTTTCTTTTAGTTCCGCTTCTTTTAGCTTTAGCAACAGTTGTAGCTTCTTGATCTTATTTCAGCAGTCATTCAGCACTCGCAGTGTTTTCTGTGAAAATGGTGTTTCTTCAGCCTGTAGATTGTTTTTTTTTTGTGCCTTCTATGTTGATTTATTTAGCTTTTTGCTCATTTCCCCTCTTGATGTCTGCCTGCAGCTGAAGGAGGACTGGCAGTATGTAGCCATGGTAGTGGACCGGATGTTCCTCTGGATCTTCGTGGTCTTCACCACTGTGGGAACCCTGGCCATCTTTGCCGACGCCAGTTTCAACCACACGCCCACCGACCCGTTTAAAGGGTCCTGAAGAACAGTTGGATTTCTTGTGAGCTTCTTTAATAAACACTGCGTAAGACTCTCCCGTCAACCATAAACTCCAGTTTCTGATGTGGCTTCCACAGTTTTTGGATTGCAATGAAGGGTTGCACAAATAGTGTGCAACATCCTTTTTATGAACTTCATATACATTTTACTTCACCAGTGTCAAAGTATTTGGTTCAGTGTTTTGTTTTAGTATAACTACAGTATAAAGTATGTCAATTATGTGGATTTTTGTTCCATTTTAAAGCTTTAAAGTTCATTTTACAGGTGATATTGTTCTGGATTTAGCATTTTGTACCTCACGTGTGTAACGTTACTTAGCAATAGAGGCCACTTGCTGGAGTCTTCTAAGGAATTCTATGTACTCCAGATTTGAACGGTGTATTTATATCTTTGTGTTAACAAATAAACACCCTGAACAACCAGCTGCTATAATTATCTGGCTCTTGCACGTGCTTATGGGATGGCTCTCTCGCCACATTAATTCTGCTTGTGCTTTAGACTTTGGGGTAGTCAGGCACACGTTGGAGTACAATCAGTACCCTCTGTGTCTCACTTTGTCAAAGACACGAGGACACTACATGTTCTCTTTGATTTATCCGTCCTTGAAGTCTTTTGTTTTGGTTTTGTAACTTCAGTACAGATCTGAGGGGGAGAATATCAAAGGCTCCATCTGTTGTCACAATGCGTCTGTTAGAGCTGCCATCCCTCGCTGCCCACTCGCCTAATAATAGTCCTAATAGTAGTCCTAATAATAGTCAACAGTGGTCCTGTTTACTGTGGACTGGGCTTCCCTGATACGCTTCTGTTGAAGGGATATTTACCTACTAGCATTCTTTCAAGGAATGTGTCCTGCCTACTGTGTTCCAACCCAAAGTAAACCACTGGACTGATTTTAATAAGACGTACTCATTGGCTCTACAACTGAATAACATTCAGAGTCAGCCTGATCTAAGATGGCAGATCATCAGCCTTACCCACCACAAACGTGGCTTTACCTCTGTCAGATGTACAGATATTGAGCCAATATGTGGTGTGGTAAAAGCAGATGGTCATCTCCAGCGTATGTGATCCGGCACATCAAACCGAGGACTAGTTCTCAAGGTGGTATGTTGAGATACATCCAGCACAGGTCAGAAAAAAATGCAATAATTGGATTTTGTCAAAATATGATGAAAAGGTACCTCATCTATATGTCCCTTGAAGGAAATGTCCAAAATATAATCCCAAAGACGTTTTAAAGCATCTTTTTGAGCAGTACCAATAACTAATAATGATGTTGAGCCAGAACGACCCTATACCTTGCTACTTTTTAATAACACCTGGGAAGTCTTGATGTCTTAATATGATTTGAGGTTCCCTCTTTCAAATCAAATCAAGAAATACTTGTAAGAACACCTTATGGGATTCAGACTGATTTTCCAGATGCTATCCTGATTAACTAGACAAATCAACACAAATCACTGGAACTCGCTCTCGTGCAAGACGGACACATTTTTTCCCCTCTCCCATCCTCCTCCTGCTTTTCCGCTCTCTGTCATGTGTATTGGAGCTCCTATTTACACATCTTCTGAAACGTAAACTACTGTCATGAATCTGGTCAGCTGGACTTTCAACGCAATCTATAAAAATAATTTCAACAAAGTGACAGGGTCCTAGAGAACCCTCATGCCCCGCTGAGACACACACGGCAGGATATGTCATGGATCTGCTGTGCCTTTTTGTATTGTCTCAGGAGGTTTCTGCTTTTTGGTACCGGTGTATATATATATGTTATCGGCTATTAAAGAAGACAACAGCAGCAGTTTCAGCCATGGCAAAGCTGCCAACCCTGTCTGAAAGTTTGGTTCGTGCTTCGAGCACTCAAAATCAGCTGATTTACAAGCTATACCATAAGACGGAAGCAATTTGTGAGAATCACAAGCCACTTGCGGCTTCTGGGACTCGCCAGCATGTTGGGGACGACCTTGGAGGGAGCTAATAAGCACGGACCAGTGGAGTGCCCACAAATCTGGCCATTTTGGATTAAAAGTACCAGCAGGACTTAAGGCTGATGAGAAATAAGTGCCTGCAAAAGTCAACAACTGTTGCTTATCTGAATCTGACTCCCCCGTTTTGCCTCGAAGGAAGCCGACTTATCAAATTCCTCATGGGGTATATGTAAACTAAGAAAGCTCTGTCTATTGCAACCCCCCCTCCCCACCCCCGAGAACTTCTGTGAATGCTAATCAGAGCTGTACTGACTGAAACCAACATCTTAACAAGACCATGAGCTGTCTGGAAGTACTTCATGGACAAATCTCACCGTCTTGTCGTCAAATGCACATGTCATGCGTCTATAAATGTGCTTGCTGGTAGAGTTTTTGGATGTCTTAAATCATGTCCTGATAAGGACAAGGTGTGAAGAGATCTTTTTGAAATACCACTATCCTCTCCTCATGGCCTTTTCCCCTTTTCTATCTTTAAGAATAAGGGGCTGTGCTCTTAGGAGCAGCAGCAACGTGCACTCCACTCATCTTTCAAACGACTGTATGAACATAGTCTCACTGTATTTCAGTACAATGATAAACCTTCTGATATCAGGATGAACTTGATGTCAAAATGTAGTGAATAAAGCCAGTCATCTAAAAAATGTGCTTAGTTTGAACAAAAATGACTTAATCCCTGATTTGATATAATCGGTCACATATATACTCATCAGTAACTCATCTTGCATAATGTCGTTTACAAGGTTTCAAAGGCCCGGCATCCTCCATCCGAAGCAGCAAAATCGGCTCTCAATGTCGTAGTTGCGTGACAACTGCGTCATTTTGTTCTCAAAGCAGCTTCGTTTGCCCGTTCTCGACACAAGGCCCAGACCTAACATTTTCTCACGGGAGTATGCACCAAGTGTTGTGTAATTAGTCAGAGGTTTTTGGGTGTGTTTGTACATGCGGAAATGAACTTAAACATTCAGCTGTACCACTCTTCAAACACACTAAATTTGTCAAATGGCCCGAAACTCCTGCACGAAGTGCAGACATCGTGTATGGAGGAGTCTGTCTTCTGAAAAGTGTGGAACTTTCTTCGTGATAGATTTGTGGCCAAACAACGGATGCAAGGACAGAATGGAGACTCTGGCAGGAAGAAAGTCATGTGGTGATGCCCCATACTGCAGAGGGAATGGTTTCCCAGGAGCTCTGCAACATGGATTATGAAAGGTGGTGAGAAAATTAACGTCCCGCAACTACGGGACCACGAGTGGACTGCTCGGCTTCAGATGGAGTATACAGGACCCTTAATTCTCAGTCGTTACAAACTATTAAACTCTTTTGAATGGCTCGTTAAAACAAACGATGTGAACCAAGTGGTAGACGTTTAAGGGCCATTCTTTAAAAAAAAGTTTCCTCCTTGTGGTTTCTTTGCATTTTCCTCCTTAGATGCAGACAAACTTTCCTTTTTTGCGTTTCCGTTGAGCCAAAAAGTAATAGGCAAAGGGAAGGAGCGCAGCAGTTGGGAAAGTTGTCATCAGGGGGTGACGGGCGAAGGAAGGTTGTGTGCTTGACAAGTCACAAGTTATGGCTCTTACGTCGTACCTCACTATATACGTATACCATACGTCACTAAATACCACCATACGTAGTGATGTCTCTTTAAAACCTCAAAGTTCATGCTCAATAATCCAGGTAGAAAATCCAACAAAGTTCAGTCAGATCATCTGGATGGTTTATTTTTTTGTTGAGATGTTTCGTCTTTCATCCAAACGTTTTGAACCACTTTGGCTATGACTGTCTCAGAGAAGTCGATGAGGGAGAGGGTGGGCCCCAGAAACCATCTTATCGCCTGCAAACTAGTTGGTCCACTATTTGGGTTTGCTGCTTGTGGGACCAAGTTTGTTGTGGCTCCTTGTACCGATGAAGTCCTTTGGATGAAGGATGAAATATCTCAACAAAAAAATAAACTGTCCAGATGACCTGACTGAACTTTGTTGGGTCTCTTTAAAATGAACAGATCCTCAAGATCCTATCAAAGAGCTGTGTATCCCATCTACAGTCAATGACCAATAAAAATGATTTTTTATTGACTCCTTTTTGATAAACACGAGCTATGAACCATTCATCGCTGAAACTTTTAACTCTTTATCTTGACACTGCTGGTAGCTCTGTGCATCAGCATCGTACTGATCACCTCCATCCACAGATTAACACACCATCCTCATATGAAATTGTCCCACTGAGGAGATGAGCTGTTTAGTAGATGCAGAAAGCACCCCGGTGGGTGGGTACTCTGAGTGGTGTATTTATACTCAGGAGTGCTGGCATGCAGGGGGCAGTAAATTTGAGACATTTTGTCTCTCTCAACTCTCATTGTGGCTCTGATTTATGGCCCGGTTGTTTTCTCTGCACTGCAAATATTGACAGGGATTATGGAGGAAGGAGAGGATGACCCAAGAGGCAACAGAGGACAGATTGGAACTGTCGCAGGAGTCACTGATTAAAGGAAAACAAACCCAGTTTCTTATCTTGTGTGATGGAACTGAAATATTTTGATCATTAAAATACAAACGTATTTCCATAAAGCAACACGAGGGACCAGGTTCCCATCGTTAATAACATTCCATCAATCAAAACGCTCGTCGTTTAAACATTTCAGAGATTTTCAGACTATTTTATAGCAACGGCATCTGTCTTTGTATTTCATGCACAGTTGAGTATTGTACACGTCAGGACGAGCTTTATTTTTAAAAAATTAAATCTTTTAATACTTGTTCACTGCAAAAAAACTGCCATCTAGGGTGCCGAGGGCAGCAGGTGATGAGGGTTAAGGGCCTTGCTCAAGGGCCCAGGGTGGAGACAGGTGTGGGTGGTTCACATTTCCCAACCATATTTTGATGTGGGATCGGCGGGTCAAACCAGTGACCTTCCAATCACAGGCTCCTCTCAACCAGCCGGTCAAAGCAGATGGCTGCCTGTCCTGTGCCTGGTTCTGCTGGAGGTTTCTTCCTTTTAAAAGGGAGTTTTTCCTTTCCACTGTTGCCACTGTGCT